TGACGAACGTTGGCCCTAAAAACTTCACAAATAGAAGCCCCCTGGAAGAAGAAAAGGAGGTAGACTTCGACGCTCATGAAATGAAAGAATTAGAAGAGCGATGGGATCGAGAGGTTTGAAAAAGGAGCATATCTTGGGCCGGGAGGATTGGCGCAGGAGAACAGGAATACTGCGATAGCCTAGTCTCCAAAATGTATTGTATTTACAAGTTGGATTAATGTCAAACGTCAATAAATTTATTTTAACCTTCAATTGTGACTTATTCCCATTAGTAGTAATTACTAATAGCCACAAGAAAATAGCTTTAGAACAATAGATAAGATCTAGAGAAAAGAAGAGAGTGTTCCAAAAATGTCGTCAGCCTTACAGCGGCCACCTCACTTTTGGAGTACGGTACGTGCGACAGTCAACTGCGCACAAGAGAGGGTGGTTTTACTTGGTAGGCAAGTTAAGAGATATCTGAGTCTTTGGCACTGCTATCTTTTGTACTTTAAATTAAACTAAAACCGAAATTTTAGGGACTCAAAATGGAAGTAGCATAAAAAAAATTCAAACCCTCCCCCTTCAGACAAATTCTGAGTGCGCCACTGCTACTTCTTATTGCTCAATATGCCGGTATCATGGACGTATGTATCCATGGCCGGTATGTTTGGCACGGTCCCGAATCAATCTCACCCGACACGAGACGCATGCAATATAACATACATATTATACAGGGTGCATCACACGTTTGATTTTCGTTTGTTATGGCCAAACAAGGCGTATATAATTTAAAATTATTTTTGATTACACAGGGTCAGTCAGACCAACGTAATTAACCAAAGTTGTATTTTTTTAATGGAATACCCTATATATTAAAGCATTTTTGGATATATTTTTTAAATATGTCCAAATATAATTTTAAATTTTTTATCGATCTATAGTTAAATTATCTAAATATTTACACTTTTATTGGAAAAAATGGTAATATTTATATTAGCCTGCGGATTATGTTTCCGTGGTAATTAAAAAGTAACTGACATGTTAAAATGTTTCTAATGTAGGCATTTTTAAATAACTGAATACCTTTGACAATATACACACTATTTTTAAATACAAAATTATTAAAATGATCTCTCCTGTTGCCGACAAGAATGTAGCGTAGAATCATTTTTAAATAATTTTTGTAAAAATAAACTGTTTGTCCTTGTTTTATATAATATCTATATATCTATTATATATATATATATATATATATATATATATATATATATATATCTATATATCTATATATAAAATATACATATATATATATATATATATATATATATATATATATATATATATATATATATATTATATATATATATATATATATAAGGATCACTCAGACGAATGGTGGGTTCTTATATCGGTCTCTAGGTGGAGAAATAAAAGACAAAGTTGATAGGCTACTTTATCTATTTTGAAGACTTTTTTTTTTATTTTTTTTTTTTAAGTGAAACTGGAACAAACCATGAAGTGGAGATATCCAGGAGTGGCTAGTATACCTGTTGAATACAAAGCACGTGGTGTTCGTGTGTATTAAGGTATAAAAACGCTTATTAAAAGCTTAAAATTTTTTATTATAAAGAAGATCTTCTCGGAATTGTATCATTCCATCATCAGTTTACTAAAAAAGAGAGTAAAAATACCAATATTAAAAACAACAAAGTTAAAATTTGAACATACAAAAAGAGAAAGTTGGTTTTTTACTACTTACATAAAAAAGGTTGTTAAAAAACATTGTGTGGCCACATAAAAAACATTCGGTGGACATCTGGATTTAAAAAATAATATTCTTCGTGTTATTTATTCACGTAAATGCAATAGACTCTTGACTTGTGTAATATAAAAAATGAAACTGGGGGCATCTTATATGACCCCCTGTAGTTGGTGAAGTTTTATTGACTTACATTACCTCTGATCTGTGTTGGAGTCTAGGGCTAACTGATAGAAAGATGGTATGAAAAATCAGTTAGTACCCGTCAATGTCAAGAGGAATGATGTGGTAGGAGCAAAGTCATTGTGCTTAAGTTTGTGAGTAGGCAGTTTTTAGTGAAGAAATGTGTTTTGTGTGTAGTAGGATCATAAGCAATTTTTGGTATTTTAAAAAACTGATGGGAGAATATAAATCAATGCGTGACTGTGATGCAAAATAAATCGGTATACCAAGGTAGGAAAAAATTTTATGTAATTTAAGTGGTTAAAATTAATAAATCATTTTAAATGGGATGAAAAGGATGTTATTACCTAATTGTATCGTTGTATTAAATGAGTATATATAAAAGATGGATTGTAATTTATGGAAGATGAGTCGAGGAAAAGAAAAAGAAATAAAGGAGAAAGTAAGAAAAGGAAATAGAAAGTGAATGTGACGATGTAAGCTGGGGAAATTGAAACTGATTGTGATAAGAGGTAGATAGATGTAAAATGAATATTTATAAGAAAATGTGTATGATTGTATGTGTATGATTAATTGAATATATATAAAAGTAGGATTGTAATTTATGGAAGATGAGTAGAGGAAAGAACAAGAAAAAAGAAATTAACGAGAAAGCAAGAAAAGGAAATAGAAGGTGAATATAGCGATGTAAACTGGGGATATTAAAACTGATTGTGAAAAGAGAATAATATATGTAAAATGAATAATTATAAAAAATATGTATGATAAGTGATGGTAGTTATTGGAGAGGATGGGTAGTTGGATATTGGCAAAGGGGTGATGTTAGTATATTAATGGTGACAAGTATAGAGTTAAGTATGAATGATTATGTAAGTTGAAATTTAGCTATGGGAAATAAAAAGAAATGTAGAAGTGAAGTAAAATTGGATGGGTAGTTAAAAGAGAGAAAGTTAGTTTAGGAGAATAATTGTCGATGAAGTGGGACGAAGTCTCTGTTGATGCTGGTGTGACGATTAACACAATTGGAACTATTTTTCTTTTCCTTGACTATTTCCAAATCCTCAAAAAGGTCGAGTTGTCGACTTCTTCATAACATCCCTGGTAGAGATTATCTCAAACTCGACCTTTTTGAGGATTTAAAAATAGTCAATGAAACGAAAAATAGTCCCAATTGTGTTAATCGTCACACCAGCATCAACAGAGACTTCGTCCCACTTCATCGACAATTATTCTCCTAAACTAACTTTCTCTCTTTTAACTACCCATCCAATTTTACTTCACTTCTACATTTCTTTTTATTTCCCATAGCTAAATTTCAACTTACATAATCATTCATACTTAACTCTATACTTGTCACCATTAATACACTAACATCACCCCTTTGCCAATATCCAACTACCCATCCTCTGCAATAACTACCATCACTTATCATACACATTTTTTATATATGTTGTTAGTTACCTAATTGTTTATACAAGATCAGCGTATTATGTCCATTTACTTAAGTTTCATTCACATTATTGTTAATAACATTGACTGCTACATGTCTCTTTAAGGTAACAATTAACATCGTTTCCATGATTGTGTGGTTCTCATATTGTACTTTTTTAGATTAACTGATGATGCTTTCAAAACTCGAAAGCGAAACGTCTTCAAAATAGATCAAGTAGCCTATCAACTTTGTCTTTTATTTCTCCACCTAGAGACCGATATAAGAACCCACCACTCGTCTGAGTGATCCTTGATATATATTGGATTGACGGTCGTACTCCTTTATCCGATATATATATATATATATATATATATATTATATATATATATATATATATATATATTTATATATATATATATATATATATATATAAGTAGTATAATGTGCTATTTTTGGATACTGCACACGTATCCTCAAATAAAGGCGATCATTCAAAAGTTTTTACTGAAAGGGCACACACATATGAAAAACTGGAATGCCTGGGTCATATAATGCGCAATGCACAACGATATGACCTACTTCGGACTTTAATTCAAGGTAAAGTGCATGGGAAGAGAGGTCCAAGACGGAGAAGAATATCCTGGCTGCATCATCATCATCATGATCATTCCTCAACCTCTTGCATCCACTGTTGGATATAGGTCTCCTCCATGTTCTTCCACTGTTCTCTATCTTGCGCCTTCTGTATCCAATTTCCGACTGTTTTTCTCAAGTCGTCCATCCATCTTTTTGGTGGTCTGCCTCGGTGTCTTTTGTCTTCTCTAGATCTCCATTCTATGAGTCTTTTGGTCCACCTATTATTATTTAAAACTTGCTATATGTCCAGCCCATCTCCATTTGGCTTGTGCAATTTTTTCTATGCCATCTGTCACTTTAGTCCTCTCTCTCACTATCCTATTGAGTACCATATCTCTTCTAGTTATTCCCAACATTGCTCTTTCCATTTTTCTTTGGGTTACACTCAATTTATTTGCAGAATATTTGGTTAAAGTTATTGTTTCGGAACCATATGTTATTACTGGCAGTATGCATTGGTTGTAAACCTTTTTCTTTAAGCAAATCGGTAGCGTTCCTTTTAGAATATCTCGCATCTTGCCAAATTGCTGCCGATCCCAAGCCTATGCGACGCTGGATCTTACAAGTTTGATTGTCTTTTCCTATTCGAATTTCATGCCCTAAATAGATATAGCTAAAGACCTGATGTACTTCGTTCCCATCTACCCTCATAACATCACTTGGAACTAAATTGGCTGCATAACCTGCGAAAATAGTTTAACTTAACCACTACCACTCTTTTCAGGGCAGCTGTCAACAAAGTCAGAAGAGCCATGTTAGTATCCAACATCCGTAACGGATAGGCAACATAATAAGAAGAAATATAAGAAAGATTTGAGTATTTACTGATTACAAATTAAAAAAATGTTAGAACTGCTCTCCTGAAAAAGTAAGAAAATGGACATAGTAAAAGTGTCCTTTAGCTCCGGGGTACAGATATGTTTCCATACTTAATGCGCGCACTTAATATAATTCCATAATATTTAGTATTATCATAGTTTTTAATTTTAACAATAATTTTTATTTTAGAGGTAGCGGATATCAACGTTTTTGACTTTGAACATATCAATCCATTTGTACAAGTCTTTTTCATGAACATGCTTCTAACTGAAGGTGCTAACTTCGTATTAAATCATCCAAATTTGCAAAAACTTTTGGATTCAAATAAAACTTTTGATGTTATAATTCTTGAACAGTTTAAACATGAAGGTTTACATGTTCTGCAATGCCACTATAAAGCTCCATTAATATTATTAAATACAGTAGGGTCGAACGTTTGGATCAACCCATACGTCGGCAATCCTGCACCCCCGTCATATATCCCAGATACTTTCTTGAAGTACTCAGCAAGGATGAATTTCTGGGAAAGAGCGTTTAATTCTATTATAATACTAACTGAACATGTTCTAATGGACTTTTTTATACATCGAAAGCAATTTGCAATGGCTGTCGCCAAGTTTCCACATTGTGCAAATGATAATTTCTCCAACAATATATCTTTAGTATTTTTAAACGCTCATGAAAGCATAACGCAGCCAGTACCTTTGGTACCTAATATGATTAATATAGGTGGATTTCATATTGATCCCCCCAAAGAATTACCAAAAGATTTAAAAGACCTGTTAGATGGTGCCAAGGAAGGTGTAATCTACTTTAGTTTGGGTTCTAACATCGAAAGTTCTGATATAAAACCAGGAATAAAGCAGGATATTATCAAGTCCTTAGGAAAACTAAAGCACAAGGTACTATGGAAATATGAAGATGAAGATTTTAAATCACCGAAAAATGTAGAGATAAGGAAATGGTTGCCTCAGCAGGATATATTAGGTAAGACAACTAGCTGGTACTTCAGTTTTCTTCTTCTACTGCTTAAATTAGGCTTCAGTTTAGATCTCATGTTATGGTATATCTTATAATCTGTAGTTGCGTTTGGATCATTAACTGTTTTCCCATCCTTCAATATAATGTATTTTGAAGTGATCTATTATTTGGTTAATTGGTATTTTTCGTTTAATATTTTCCTTTCAAGCAATTAATTTCACTTTTTATTTTTGATTTTCTAAAAATTCTTTCTGTTTCTGAGGCATATGCTTTTATTTCTATCGTCTGTATGGTTGATGGTCTTATATATGAGTTATGCTTATAAATGAATTATGCAATGAAGTTTCTACATGAATTATAGTATAATATTCCAATTTTTCCAGATGACATCTTGATGTATAATCTGCTTTATTTCCTGGGTTTCTTACACTATTTTAAAGGTTTTCGTAGCTAGATACTTCTATTTCTAGATACTCGAATCTCAACACTTGCACTATCCCGTTAATTGTAATTTTTAAATGGTTTGGATTCTTTTGTCACTAAAGATACTAAAGATTTTATTCTATTCTTTTATTCTATTAAATATGTAAATAGTTTCATATTTTCATATTATTTATCTGAGCGGTTATTTAAATGTTTGTATAATTTGCTGAACGTTATCTTTCACATTTGCATCATCTGCATAACAAAAGATTATTATTTATTGTCTGCTGAGCTTGTATCTTTGTCCAGCATTGGACAGCGGAGGTCGAGCAGTGCAGTCGTGTGTTTTAGTAAAGCGAAGTTGTTTTTAATGAAACTGTCGAGGAGCTGCCTTTTATAGGCTTCTCTTAGAGGTTATTTTCAAATTAGCATCGGTGAAGAAACAGGTTAATCGCACGACAGGGATGACACTGTAAGGCTTTGACATTTGGCAAAGTCGGGCAGAAACGGCTCCTGTGCCTTCAGTAAGAGAACAGCAAGTGGAAACCCTCCCTGAGAATTCAGGGAGCGATCTTCCGTGAGGTAGCTGGGATGACACCCAGAAAAACCGTCTGGTAGCGGTCAGGCGAAAATACAAAAAACAGAGTCTTCTGAGTAGTAAAATCCCACAATCCCACAACTTTTGTTCACAGCCGTAAGGTGCAATCATGAGTGATATCCCCTCCAAAAGTTCTGACACGCAGTTGTCAGAGCAAGAAGAAGACGACATCCCGTCGTCCACCTCACCAGGACGTTAAAACTGTTAACTTAATTTTACTTAAACACCATAGAAGACAACATGGCGAATAACCAAAACGGCGAAACAAGCGGTGACGAGAACTTTTATAAAATCAGAAGAAAGAGAAGCGACTCCGACTCAGAATCCGAGAAAGAGACGAAAATAATTGAAGAGATGGAGATAGCTGAAAAGCCAAATATCGAAAAAATGGAAATGACCCGTGCTATTGAAACACTGTTTCAACACGATCATTATAATGAAAAAATGGATGAATGTAACAACAAATGAAGGAATTTCAAAAAATTATCAAAGAAAAAGATGAAGAAAATAAAAGAACAACAAAAATTTGGGCGTTAATGGAACATAATACATATAAAGAAACAAAAATATCAGAGAAGAAAAAATTTGCCAAAAATCCTGTAAAAAAACGGATTTGAAGTCAGAATCCAAAAGAAAAGAAGGAAACGAAGTCTTCCAACGAGAAAATTTGGGTAACACCAAAATTTTTGGTAATAAACGAAGAAACAGCAAAGGACATAGAAACTAAGGATGCCGGATGGCAAACATGCACAGTAAAGAAAATATCTGCCACACCAATTACAGAGGAAGCAGTAAAAAATCAGCGTTGCGGAAAAGCAAACACAGCTAATCAAAAAACGTAAAGAAAAGGAGATGGACAAAACAATTAAAAAGAGACAAACAAAAAGAAGCGCAAAGAAAACACATCTTAGCACCAGCAAAGCTGCGGGGAAAACCTGACAGGAAATAAATTAAGAAAAAGCAGCAGCAAAAGGATTGCCAAAATCACCGGCAATCATATTAAAAACAGTTAGAGAACACCAAAAGGTATTGCATCTAAGCTGCAACTAAAAAGATTATTTCCGTAAACAAATTTGCTAAGTCTGGAAGATCAATAGTCATCCAAACTCACACCAGAGAAGATTATCTCGAGATGGTAAGGTTGCTAGAAAACCACACCCCTAACGTTGACTTTATTGCTTGTCCGATTGACAACGATAAGCTCAAAACCGAAAGGCAGATCCATTAATAGAAACACCACCAACAAAGGTGTTAGCTAAGCGCAGGGCAACAAAAAAACCCTTAAACGAGAATCCCAGCGTAGCAGCGAACGATGCCGTAGTGCTCATCGCCAGCTTTAACATAAATTTTAACGCAAAGATGGTCCAATTCTCCAACATGTTGGAGAATATGACAGAAATAATGACAGCAATAAGTAGCATAGCAGAAATATGCTAGTGCACCAATCAGAGGATCTTCATATTATGTCTTGGAACCCAGGTGAGCTTTTTTAAAAAATCAACCTTCTGGATGAATTTTCCAACAGACTGGAACTAGATATCATATCACTTAAAGAAACTAAACTAGTGCAAATGAAAAAAACAAAATTTCAGAACAGACCATAGAGCAAACTTAAGAGCAGCTGCCATCATGGTCAAAAAAGGAATCAAACACCAAGCCATCCCAACTTCTGATGGCTTGGTCACAGTAGAAGCCACGATAATCCGGCTTACCACAAGAAACAAGACACTAAAAATATGCTCAGCCTATGTAGAACCAAATGACTCAAGCTTCGATGAAGACCTTAGCCTCATGTTGGATTCAGAAAAACCCACAATTGTTATAGGTATCACCAAATTGGGATAACCGTGCTACCAATAGAAATGAAAGACTGCTCTACGGCTATCTCGAAACAAAAAACAATACATATGTAATCGGCACAACGGACCCAACGTTTTACAATGGATTTTACAACGTGGGTCAACAATATGAAATAAATTCATTCAACGAAGGCAATTCAACACACTATCTAATCGTCCTGACCTTGGGCGCAATAGATATAAACTATTTGCAGTCCCACAAAAGAAAAAAACCAGCTGGCCAAACTTTAAAAGAATGTGTGGTGAAACTGGAACAAACCTTAATAAACGCCATCGATGCTAGCTCAAAAGAAGAAAAAATAATAATGTAAGCACAAAATTAAAAGACCCGATCAGAGAAAAAAAATAGGAGAAGAAGAAGAGCTTATCGTACAAGGACCCATGAAAGGATTGCAAACGAGCTGAATAGATAAGTTAAAAAACAGCTTCCTGCCCTCAGGTAGATTCGTATGCAGACCCCATTGCCAATTCCGAGCAACGAGGTTATCTGCAGCATGGGCTCGGTGGCCGGACACCACTCGGATGCTCAATTAGCGAGTAGATCAAAATTCTCAAATAGAAAGAGTCATCAGCTCAGGCTGGTGGCTCTCTGTTCGGAACACACACTTTTTTTTTTATAGACACCAGTCCCGATGTCAAGTTAGAGTAACTTCAATAGAGTCAGTAAAGTAAATAGGGAGAAAAGCCGATATGTCTGCTGCCTCTACAATTAGGTGGCCTAACCACAGTTCATAAAAACAGAGGATGTTACATACCAGGGCATCCAAAATAACTTTAAGATCATAAGCCTCCTCACGTAAGTCACACGATGACGAGAGGTGGAGGAGAAGTCTGGGGGTCAGATAGGTAGCACTTCAGTAGTGAAATGTGACCCGTTTGATCTTTGGGGATTTGGATTCCACTTTACAATGGTATACATATATTCCTTAGGGGTAGGGTTGATCTCTGTATGTGTGTGTGTGTGTGTGTGTGTGTGTGTGTGTGTGTGTGTGTGTGTGTGTGTGTGTGTGTGTGTGTGTGTGTGTGTGTGTGTGTGTGTATCTTTGTCTAGCCTTTTTTAATTTCTCAAGTAACTATTCTCAAGTTACTATTGTCATGAACTGGCTTTTTTTTCTTTACAAAAACCCACTTCAACCTAATAAGGTTATTACCGGAGGGGTAAATACTAGCTAATTACACTTAAATAAGTGAATTAAAATCTATTAAAAACAGAAGCGGGTTATTGATACTGCTTTTGAATTTAAAATGTCCAAGTGTTAAGTGGTCAATTCGCTCAACTCTGAAACATTTTGATAGATCCACCGTCGGAAACCGACAACACAAACTTAACTTGGGATGTTAGATTTCAAAATCTAATCGTTTTTAGTATAGGCTGTGATCTAGAGTTGTTTGTTCACGATATTTTTTTACAACTGCGGCAAATATTTTTAAAGTAGGCAGCAAACTTAATATGATTGTTACTCAATAATAATCTTAAATGACCACTTACGATATGTATTATTATTATTTATAATCTTCTTGTGCTTTTTGGAATGTATCAATTTTATAATTTACAGCTCATCCAAATGTCAAACTATTTATTACACATGGAGGTCTTCTTAGTCTGACAGAGTCTGTGCATTTTGGAGTTCCTGTTCTAGTATTGCCAGTATTTGGAGACCAAAAAATGAATGCTGCTAAAGTGGAGGGTATGGGTTATGGTGTTCAAATACCCTTTTCACAAATAACTGAAGAACGACTGGACGATGCCTTAAACAAATTATTGAACGATCCCAAGTAGGTATAAATGTTAAAACTTTCCGGCTTATTTTTGAGAAACTTTTTTATGTTCTATTCTCTGATTTTAGAAATATTTCTGGCTAAGCTTCCTGTGTATTTAATCGAAATAGTTAGGCGGTGCGGTTTTATAGATTACTTTTTCAGTGACTACGACGTACTTATTGGTATTATCTGAAATGCCGATACGACACGACCAGATTTCAAAAGCATTTTTTAATTCTATTATTTGCACCGTACGATAGTGATCCAAAACAACAACATCTAATAGCTACACAATAGATTTTTTCTTCTTGCGAGGAATGTTTTTCATGTCGGATCTGATCTCGTCGCTTGGTATCATAGACTGTGTATCCAAAACAAAGTTTAAACTTTTGGTGGAGACTGTTTTACTATTCGCATATCGGACCTTGAAAACCATAGGGCAGTAACTGCAAAAATCCTCATGTTGAGTTATGAGCGTTTCAATTTTTTTTTAAAGTTAATACTATTTACTGTATTACTATACGATTAGCACAGGTGAGCACGGAGAACGCTTCCGCACGGATCAGAATTGGCAACACCACGTCGGAGGAATTCCACATTGACGCCGTGCTTAGACAAGGAGATCCTCTCGCTCCCCTGCTGTTTACCTTCGCACTGGAACATGCAGTAAGGAAAGCTCAACCCCAATTGACAAACGGATTTGCCGCACAAGGATCAAAAATACTATTGGCCTTTGCGGATGACGTGGACACAATAGCAAAATCCACCAGAGCTGCAAAAGAAGTTTTTTCCAGATTTGAGAACGGAGCCAAGGAAATTGGTCTTAAGGTAAACGAGGATAAGACAAGTACATGATAGTTACGAAGAACCCAAGACCAAGGGTTAGGCAAAACGTAACAATTACGAATATAACTTCGAAGTCGTCAAAGAGTTTAAGTATCTGGGAGCGATCATAACATCTGAAAACAAATACGAAATGACGTGGCAGCCAGGATAATAGCAGGAAACAGGACATATTACTCTTTAATGACCATCCTTAAATCAAAAATACTCTTAAGATCAGCAAAAATAAGAGTATACAAGACAATAATTCGACCCACAATAACGTATGGAAGCGAGATATGGACGCTGAACCAGCGGGAAACGACAAAATTACTGGTTCTTGAAAGAAAGATACTGCGGACTATCTATGGGCCTTGTAGACAAGAAACAACAGGAGAGTGTAGAAGAAGACACAATAATGAACACCAGTCAATATATGGAGATGAAAACATAGTCCGTTACATTAAAGCAAACCGAATAAGATGGGCGGGCCACCTCCTAAGGTCAAATAACGAAAGACTTCTGAACACCACATTCTGGGAAAGGTCCGATGGCAGAAGGTCAGTTGGCCGCCCAAGAAAGAGATGGAAGGACGCAGTGGCCAGTGATCTACGTTAAAATGGGAGTGCAGCAGTGGGAAATAGCTGCTCAGGATCGACAACAATGGAGGGAAATAGTAAACGCGGCTAAGACTCACCTAGAGTTGTAGAGCCAAATGATGATGATGATGATGACTATTTACTGTAATTCCAAAAATTAAGCTACAAACCTGGTATTTAGCATAATTGTCTTTAATTTTGCATATTTCTATATGCAGTAAATAGTATGTGAAATTTCCTTCAGGAAATGGGTATTTAGCACATACGGCCATATGGTTTTAAAAAATATTTTAATTTTGGAAAAATGATGCAGTAAAATTCATATCAAATAAAAGTTTTTTAATTTAAGATTGTACCTATTTATTAAAATTTTTTGGTTTTAACACTTAATTAAAGTCATGCATATTGTAATCTGTTTTGTTCGGTTTCTACTGTTCCATTGTTTACATGTAAAACTGCATAAAACCTATGGTAGTGCTCTTGAATAACATTAGCCTTACATAGTGAGAGCAGATCTTGTTTTTTTAGAGTGGATATTCCTGGTGGATGTGATATGCTTTACTTAGTTCCGTATTAGCCACCAACCCTCGTTGTGTTCGCCTTATAGTACTAGTTCTGAGCTCTGTATCGTGGTAGCTTGTTTTAACCTGAAACTTATTTTCAAGTGTCTTCTTCACCTTCATCATATTAATCTCATTCCAGACGACCTGATTTTCTTCTTCGTCAATGCTATAATTGTTTCCCATTTCCTAACATAATTTTTTTAAAGGAAAATATATCCAATGTGGACATTTCATTAATTTTGCGTACCTTGTAACTCCTGGAGTTACAAGGTACGCAAAATATCACTTATAACATTGGCCGTGGAAAAACGACCGTGTTGATAAGGAGGATCGAAAGACCACTGAATATTACCGTCTTTTGAAGGAACTGTTAAATAGAGTTCTACAGCATGTTGTACGTAGAATGGAACAGCAGATTCATCACTATTTTTATCACACAAGCCTACCACTTGTCTATCACCCCATTTCCTTCTACGTAACATGCTCTTCTAAATGACATCGTCCAGCTACACTACACATTGTTTAGAAGTTCTGGTTTACAAAATTTTGTTTCTATTTCTAGACGTATTTGACTGACAAACTGTTTGAAAATATATAAAATACTGCCAACTAAATATACGTACACAGATAATTTTCAACGGTTTAAATACGTGGGTCATATTGACCCGAACGTACTATTGGTAACAATTTCATTTTTATCAAAAAAATCAGGAGGTTGATTTTTTATCTCGTATGTAATTGAAAGACTCATATTAGGTAATAAAGTCAAAAAACACCAAAACTTTACGCCGCGTAATAATTTGTAAAATAAGAAATAGATTTATTTGGGTGAAATAGACCCGAACAGGACAGCAGGGTTAAGCAAAACAAAGCGATTTTTTTATTCATTTCAATATTTGATTATAATATTGAAATGAATAATTGAATTATAACCAATTATTGAATGTAATCATCATCATCAACTAGCCTCTAACGTCCACTGCTGAATAGCCTCTCTCGTGTTTTTCCACTTAGTCCGATTTTGCGCCATCTGAATCCAATTTGTAGTCACTCTTTTTTATGTTATCTCTCCATCTTGTTGGGGGGTCGACCTCTATTTCTGTTACCTTGTATTCGGGGTCTTCATTCCAAAATTCTTTTTAACCACCGGTCATCAACTGATCTTGCTACATGACCTGCCCAGTTCCACTTTAGTGTTGTTATTTCTTTCAAGTACGTCTGCTACTCTTGATCTTTTGCGTATAGTAGCACTGGATATTCTATCACGTAGAGATACCCTAACATTATTTTCTCCATTGCCTTTTCCGCATTTTGTACTTTACTCACTGTTGTGCTTGTGAGTGTAAGGGTTTCTGCACCGTAGGTCATCATTGGCAAAATACACTGATTAAATACTTTTCTTTTCAGACACATTGGAATCTTAGACCTAAAAATATCCTTCATCTTTCCAAATGCAGCCCAAGAGAGGTTTATTTTTCTGTTCAGCTCGGTTGTTTGGTTGTATCGACTTATTCTGATCTCATGGCCCAAGTATTTATAGGATTCAACTGGCTCAATATCTTGGTGTTCTACTGAGATGTTTTTGTTGTAGACTAAATTTGTCATAAATTGTGTTTTTGAAAAATTTATTTTAAGACCTACTCTTTTTGTGGCAGTATGGAGTTCTTGGAGCATTATCTGTGCCTGATCAAAGCTGTCTGCAATAAGAACGACATCATCTGCAAATTTAAGGTTATTTAAAAATTTTCCATCCACACTGATGCCCTTTTCATTCTAATCTATTGTTTTACAAGCGCATTCTAGCAAAGTAGTAAATAATTTATGAGATATGTTGTATCCTTGTCGAACGCTTCTTTCAATATAAAAGGTCCCAGTATCTTCATTAAGTCTTAAACAGGCTATAGCATGCTGATAGATGTATCTGATGAGGGATATGTATCGGAGATCTATCTACATTGTGTTAGAGCTTGGAGGATTTGAATGCAATAATTGAATATAATTATTAAAAAATAAAAACATTTAAATCATAGTGTTCGTTTTTATGTAGTTATTACAGCGAAATCTGGGCAAAATCGCTAAAGTAGTTTTTTAAACAATTATATTTGTTTATCATTTTCCTAAAATGAAGAAAAAACATGAGAAAATAAGTCTCAACACTAAAAATCTGATCGAAGAAAGAAGAAGGCTAAAGGACAGGTATAACACAAACTACGCAGAATTTAGTCAACTTAGTAAAACAATAAACAAAGAAATCCGAAAAGAGGTATGGCAACATAACATGAGAGAGGTGACAAGGGTGATAGAGAAAAATAGAAGTCTGAAAGTTCTAAGACACAATATGTCCACAGGAAAAAAGAATATACATAAGTTAAGAAATAAACAAGACGACATTGTGACTGATAAGGAAGAAATAGTGAAAACAGTGGAAGACTTCTACAGACAACTCTATGAAACAAGTGGATCCGATGAAAGACGCCCTTTACCAAAGATAGAGAATCAAGGCTCAGAATTAATGCCGAACATAATGTTGACGAAACTAAAAATGCACTTCGGGGTGATGAAGAACAATAAATCCCCAGGTGAAGACAGGGTAATGATCGAAAGCCTAAAACTAAGAGGAAATAAGCTCTTACTAACACTTGCTAAACTGTTCAATAAATGTCTGTGCGAAGCGATAACACCGACGCAGTGGAACAACGCGGAAATCTTCTCACTTCATAAGAAGGGAGATATCAGCGACCTTAGAAACTACCGCCCCATTAGCTTGTTGTCACAAGTATATAAACTATTTACAAGAGTTATTACCAACAGGCTAGGAAGCAAGTTGGATTTCTATCAGCCAAGAGAGCAAGCAGGTTTTAGAGCAGGATGTGGCACGAATGATCATTTACAAGTAATTAAGAACTTAATAGAAAAGAGTTTTGAATATAACAAGCCATTAGTTATAATTTTTGTTGACTACAAAAAAGCTTTCGACACAATAAGTCATCAAAGATGTTAAAAGCCTTAACAGAGTGCCGTATAGATCACCGCTATATAAACATGATAAAATACATCTATCAAAATGAGACAGCAACCGTGAAACTGGCAGATAAAAAGACCAACGTATTTAAAATAAAACGGAGAGTGCGACAGGGAGACACAATTTCGTCAAAATTGTTTACAACATTATTAGGGCATATGTTTAAGAACGCAAATCTGAGTGAAAAAGGAATTAATGTCAATGGAGAAATGCTTAGTCATTTGAGGTTTGCTGACGATATTGTCCTTTTTGCTGAAAGAATCGATGATGCAGTATCGCAACTGGAGAAACCATATCTAGCCTCCCTACAAGTTCGATTAAAAATCAACCACACAAAAACACAAATCATGACAAATCTTGTGTTAAGCGAAAAGATTTCAGTAAATGGCGTGCATATTGAAGAAACCACCTTTTATAAGTACTTAGGACATGAAATACGCATAGGAAGAGATAATCAAACGTGCGAACTAAGCCGCCGCATAGGACTCACTTGGGTGGCATTCGGCAAGCTGAGCTATGTTCTTAAATCAGAACTGCCTATGTGTCATAAAAGAAAAGTCTTTAATCAGTGCATGTTGCCAGTACTTACATATGGTGCAGAGACATTAACACTAACCAAGAAAGTAAGAAATAAAATTTGTGTTACCCAAAGAGCTATGGAACGATCGATGTTATTCATTTCTCGTAGGGATCGGATCACGAACAAGGAAATAAGACGGAGAACAGGAATGACAGATGCCATAGAAAGAATTATGACCCTTAAGTGGAACTGGGCGGGGCACATAGCTAGAATGTCGGATAACAGATGGACACAGCGAATAATACTGGAGACCGAGATAAGAAGCACATCGAAGTAGAGGTCGTCCACCAACAAGATGGTCTGATGACATAAAACGTATCGACAAAAATTGGATGCAAACAGCACAAAACAGAAATACATGGAAAAGACTGAGGAAGACCTATATCCAGCAGTGGATAGATCCGGGTTAAATGATGATGATGATGATTTGTTTATCCCGTTTAAGAGAACAAAGGGTATTTTCAAATGGCTGTAAAGGTGCTGTGACAATACCTACTTAAGAAAGTTTTTTTTTGTCTGTTTCATATATTTGGAGTCCCAAAACTTTCAGCACAATTGAGCTGGTTCTTATTATTATTATAGGTTCAGTGCGATTTGTGCATCTGACGAATGTAGTATACCTACATTAAAATATTAAAGATATTTATTTTTAAACTTGATAATAGATCTGTAGCATATGACTTTCTTTTTACGTCTATTTCTGTATATTTTGTCATGCACTTTTCAATTTAATGACATTAAGTCTGGAATTATATACCTTATAACAACTATGCAAATAACTGATAAATCGCGAAAGTTTTTCTGGTAGAAATGTTGGGGCTTAATTTTGTCCCTTGACTTATTTCTCTAGCTGCACTCTTCTTGAGAATTATAAATGATTTAGAATATAAATAAATATATAATAGCCGCATATTATATTAATAAAATATAAACTTATTTTGATTGCAGATATTTTAAAACAGCAAGGAAATTATCGGACTTATCTCGTGATCGTCCGGTTAATCCAATGGATTTGGCAATTTACTGGACAGAATATATTGCCAAACACAAAGGAGCTCCGCACTTGCGTGTAGCTGCACTGGATCTTACCTGGTATCAGTATTTGCTGCTGGATGTCATTGCATTTGCAGTTATTGTGATCATCGTGACATTTACAACTCTCTTTATTTTGTGCAGAAAGTGTTGTTGTAGAAAGAATAAAAAAGCGAAAGTAGATTAAAAAAAATATTCTTAAAAGTCTGTGTTTTTGTATTAAAAAACATGTCATTTATTCTAAAAATACCTATATATTGTAAAAAAATATTATTAATTCAAAATAGTTGAAATGGTGAGCAGTAAAAGAGCGGTAATACTATTTGAAATTTTGACTTAAGTATCCAATACAACAGACAATACTCACTTTTGTTCAGTGGTAATAAAACATTGGATTATTGAAACCGGTAGATAGAACAAGTGCGCAATCTTTACGTTTCCACTTAACTCACACTTCTTTGTCCTGAAAATCAAAATAAGCAGACAGAGTATATGTCTCCAGCACCGTCCGCCGCCAATAAGTTGTTCTCTGATGTAAATTGTTAATATTATTTTATAAAATGCCACGGTGTATAATTGGGAACTATATTTATCATTAAACTGCAAATTGTGTGAAACACAAAAAGTCAGTTAACCTATTTAGTAAGTTTAAAATACTGCCGTCCTTAGGAAAAACACCGTCATCATCATCATTGGCTTTTACAACTCTTCGTGAGTTTTTGCCGCGTTTACTATTGCCTTCCATTGATTCCGATCCTGTGCTATTATTTCCCATGGCCTTACTTCCATCTTCTTCAGGTCTTTCCTGACTGCGTCTTTCCACCTTTTTCTAGGCCTTCCTGTCGATCTTCTACCATCTGGTCTTTCCCAAAACACATTGCTAATCAGTCTGTCGTCATCACTCCATACCACGTGGCCTGCCCATCTTAATCTATTGGCTTTTATGTATCTTACGATGTTTCCTTTCCCTAAGAGAGTCTCTATTTCATTGTTGTCTGCTCCTCCATTCATTTGTCACGCTGTCCCTGCAAGGACCATATATAATTTGCAGGATTTTGCGTTCCCATACTAATAGCTTATTGATTTCTTTCTTTCTCAATGTCCATGTTTGACTTCCATATGTCACTACTGGTCGTATTATGGTTTTGTACATTTGGATTTTGGCACGCCTTGAGAGAAGCTTTGACCTCATTAGATGTTGAATGGCAAAGAATGATTTATTCCCCGCCAGTATTCGTATTTCAACCTCCCGTTCGCCTGTGTTTTCACTGGTAATTGTTGCTCCTAGGTATTTGAATTCTTTGACCACCTCAAAATTATGATCGTTTATGGTAATTTTTTGTCTTATTCGCTGTCTTTCCTTTTTTGATACGACCATGTATTTAGTTTTTTCTTCGTTTATTTTCAGGCCTACGCTTAGTGTTGCTTCTTCAAAGTTCGATACTATATCCTTAACTTCCAGTGTTGTCTGTGCTACTGCATCTACATCATCTGCAAATGCGAGAATAATCTTTGCTCCTCTGGCAGTTATGTCTGGTTTGACTCTGGTATAAATTTTTCGCATTGCGTATTCCAATGCTAGGTTAAATAGTAATGGGGACAGCGGGTCTCCCTGTCTGAGCCCGGTGCTTATGCCGAAAGCCTTTGAAGTTTTGCTTCCTATTCTAATTTGTGCAAAGGAATTGTTGACACACATTCGCGCAATCATGGTCAGCTTCTTTGGTACGCCTAACTCCATCATTGCACTCCACAGTTTTAAGCGATCTATGGAATCATATGCTTGTTTGAAATCTATGAAGATCTGGTGTACTTCTTTATTATATTCCCAATACTTTTCAGCATTTGTCTGATAGTAAATATTTGGTCGATTGTTGATCTTCCAGGCCTAAAGCCGCATTGGTAATCGCCAATAATTTCCTCTGTATATGGCAGTAATCGTTTTAGTACAACTGAAGCTAATATCTTATATTATTATGTAGTACCGATTAGTGAGATTCCCCTGTAGTTGCCACATGTATCCTTTCTGCCTTTTTTTATGTATTGGCACGATAATACAGCCACTCCATTCTTTTGGCATTATTTCTTGTTCCCAGGCTTCTTTCATTAATTGGTGTACTTTAGTTCTAAGTTCATGCCCTCCTTTTTTAATCAGTTTTGCATCAATATTGTCTAGTCCCGGGGATTTGTCATTTTTTAGGGTTTCTATCGCCGTGATAATTTCTTCCAGGCTTGGCGGGGGTACTTCTATCTCGGCCGTTTGGTACTCCCAATTTGCTTTATTTCCATCCGCGTCTACCTGGACATTTAGAAGACTTTCAAAGTATTCAGCCCATCTTTCGATTATTTTATTTTCAGCTGTAATCATTTGCTCATTTTTATCTCTCACACAGTTCGGTGTTCTTATATATGCCCCTTTCTTATGTTGTCTTACTTCTTTGTAGAATTTTTTATTTTGCTTGCTTCCGTGTTCACGTTCTACTTTTTCAATTTGTTGTTGTAAATGTTGTCTCTTTTTTCTCCTTACTGTTCTTCTGGCTAAGGCTCTCTCTCTATTGTATTGTTCACGCTTTTCATTCGTCGGGTTTGCTAGGTAGTCGATTCTTCTTTTGTTTGCTTCTTTTAAGGTATCCTCGCATTCTTCATCAAACCATTTTTTTCTTTTTGCTTTTCTCTTCCGACCTATACACTTCTCTGCTGTTTCTGTAATGATCGTTTTAATGGAGTGCCATTTCTGATCTATATTTTCTCTTTCATTTTCTTTCGTTTTCAACACCTGGAATCTGTTTCTCAATTCTAGTTGGTATTGTCTCTTTCCCTCTTCTTCTTCCAATTTAGACACATTCCATCTTTCGATCTTCATCTGTTTGTCTGTTGTTTATGTTGAGATTCTAGTTCTGAGCTTGGCCTTTACTAGGAAATGGTATGTATCACTATCTGGTCCCCGTCTAGTTCTTACGTCTATTATACTACTGGAATGCCTCCCATCAATTAATACGTGATCAATTTGGTTCCTCGTTCTTCCATCATTTGATCTCCATGTTACCTTATATATTAGGAAAAACACCGCATATGCAAAAATTATGGAAATTTAGTTGGGCGCGAAAATTAAATCTAGAGAGTTTATTTTACATGAATATTTAAGAAACGTACAGTATTTAAAATCCTAAGTATATATTCTGAAAGAAATACTAAACCTAGCATCTACGAAAACATACGTGGTTTTTTTGAAGAACCCCGCAACTAGAACATTACTTAGGTAAAACCCCGCATATACTTGACACAGCCTGTAGTTACTGTGTTTATTCTAAGCAATACACAATTACGGTATTTTTGCTACGTAATTGACGCGAATAGCGAAAGCATATGTCAGACAAAATGTGTTTTAATCGTATACTCTCATCTGCTCTAAAAAAGATAGACGTTTGAAGGCGACGATAAGGCGAAGACGTTTGAAGGCGAAGGCGAATATAAATATATTTTTATATTTTAACATATACATTTAGCATATACATTATCAAAAATGTTTATTTTAATGTCAAGTTTATTTATGTGTGAAATCTTTTAATTTCTGTAAGTATTGTAAATCTAAGTCTATGTCAGTTTTTTTAAATGTTTGTTTTTTACAGTTACTCCTGATGAAGCTGTTAAATAAATGGCGAAATTATTGAGTTTTAGAAAAAACAAAGATTTTTTTTAATATAGACCACATACTATATATATATATATATATTATATATATATATATATTATATATATATATATATTCGAAAGAAGAGTTGTGTACCTATGATAAATACTGCACTCTGTAAGACCTCTTAACATCTTAACATGGAGCTATGCGGGACTGTGTCAAACGCTTTCTCAAAGTCTACAAATATTAATATCAATGGCTTGTTGTATTCTGTAACTTTCTCCATTAAGGATTTGATTACTTGAAGGTGGTCATTCGTTCCAAAGCCACTCCTAAATCCGGCCTGTTCTAATGGTTGGTGAAAATCCAGCTTAGGTTCCAGTCGGTTAGTAATTATTCTCATAAAGAGCTTATATAAATGAGATAACAAGCTAATAGGTCTGTAGTTTCTAATTTCTGTTACATCTCCTTTTTTGTACAGTATTATCATACTGGTACTATTCTATTTTTCTGGTGTAACTCCTTCAAAGTGGCATTATAAACTCCTTTATAATGCGCATGCCTGCGCATTATAAAGGGTTTTTAAAGCTTTTATGACGCATTCGCCTTCTAATTTTAGCATTTCACTTACAATGCCATCTTCTCCAGGTGATTTGCTGTTCTTCATACCTTTCAACGCTGATTCGATTTCCTCTCCAGTTATATCTGGAAGTTCCTCTGATCCTTGATTTTGTATGTTTGGGATTTCCACTTCTGGAATGTGAGCATTTTGACGATATAATGTTCTATAATATTCTTCGATAATTTTCAAAATTTCTTGTTGTTCATATACAACATGTCCTTGTCTATTTTTTAGCTTATAAATGTTCCTGGTTCCTGTCTTCAACTTTCGTTTTAGAACTTTAAGGCTTTTATTTTGTTTTATGGTATAAGTTGTTTCCTTAGTGTTAAAATCCCTTATGTCTTTCCTAACAGCTTTTCAAATGGTTTTATTTTAAATTCCTCAGCTCTACGATGTTCACTGTGTGCTTATCTTTTATTTTCCTTTTTTTTCGCATTAGGTTCCTTGTGCCTTCTGTAAGTTTTTTGTTTTTCCTTGTTTGCTTAACTTAACAGTTCTTTTGTGCCTTCCTTAGAGCTTCCACCAACTTTTCGTTAAGTTGTTCAATATCGGTTTCATCTTGCGCCTCATTCTAAAGGTTACTATCTATTTCTTGCTGGTATGCCCTTATGTTGGCAATCGCAGTGAACATAACATTTTTAGTCCTTGTTACCATATTTTTTCGCCCTTTTTTACGTTCAAGACTACCTTCGCTCTAACCATTCTATGGTCACTTCCGGCTAAAAATTAATTTAATATAGTTACATCTTGAACAGCGTCTTTTTGTTAGTAAAGTTAAAGTCAATTTGGTTCTTGTTCAAACCATTTGGTGATTGCCAAGTCCACTTTCTTTGGGGACTTTTTTTGAAATGGGTGATCAAGACATATAATCTGTGTTACAGAAGAAATTCTATAAAAGTTTGACCTCTTTCGTTTCTGTGGCCTTATCCGTGAGGTCCAAGTACAAA